GAGGCCCCCGTCAGAGTCCCCAGACGGCCCGAGGGAGCCCCAGGACGACCCAAGAGGCGCCCAAGAAGGCCCAAGAGGCCCACAAGAGGGGGAACTCGAAGTGACATTTCCCGCTCTACGCTCAGATAACCTCCAAGACCACCAGCAGGCCCCCAAGAGGCTCCAGGCGGACCCCAAGATGCCCAAATCAGGCCACAAGAGGCCCCACGAGGGCCCCGAGAGGCTCCAAGACATCCCAAGCAACCCGAGGCGGCCCCGCGACGGCTCCAGCGACGCCCTAGACGGCCCCAGAGGCAACCAAGACAGCCCCAAGAGCGGTCAATAACGGCCCAAGACGGCCCCAAGACGGTCCGAGCTGCGCCCACGACGGCCCCACACGGCCCAAAGAGCCTCCAAGTCAGCTCAACGGGGGTCGTGCGTGCCAGAATGCCGCAGGATCAATGAAGTCAAAACCGCCCCGTGCTGGCCCCGGGCCGCCCAGGGACGCCCAGGGAGGCTCCAAGAGGGCCCCGAGTGGCCCAAGTCGGCCCGAGAGGTCTCCAAGATGCTCCATGAGACCAGCCTAGAAGCTTCCCGAGAGGGCCCCGAGCAAAGCAAAAATCGAGATGTCCCGTGTTTTTTGCAAGGTTTTTACCGTTCTCGCCTTGTCGGCTCCCAGACGATCCACGACCACCCAAAACGGCTCCAAGACGGCTCCAAGACGGCCGAAGAGGCCCCCAGCAGAGCCCCAAAGACGGGCCCAAAGGGCGCCCAAGTCGGCTCAACAGGCCCCCAGGTGGGCCCCAGACGCTCGAGATTGGCCCAAGATTGGCCCAAGCCGGCCCGAGAGGCCTCCAAGGTGCTCCATGAGACGTCCCCAGAACCTTCCCCAGAGGGCCCCGGGGCCCCGGCGCGCTTCCAAGATGGCTTAAGAGCGCTCCGAGCCGCCCCCGGAGGCCCCCAAGAGGGCCCAAGAGGGCCCGAAGACGGTCCAAGAGGGCCTCCGAGACGGGCCCCGAGCGCTCGAAGACGCCTAAGACTGCCGCCCGACCGTCCAAGAGGCCCCAAAAATGCTCCAAGTGGGCTCCATAGAGAGCCGAGGAGAGCCCGAACAAGGAACAATCGTTCCAATCCCAAGGGAAAACGCACATTTCGGGGGTTCCCGTGCTTTTCGTTTTCGAAGCTTTCAAGACGGCCACACAGGCCCTCAAGACGCCCATGGCGGTCCCAAGAGGAGGGCAGGACAGGGTGGGAGCGCTCCCGAGGGGCCCCAAGAGGGGGCCAGGAGGGCTTCAAAATGGCCCCGACAAGGCCCCAAGACGCATGTACTTGGGAGCCCATGCCCAATAAGCATATCAAGTACAAGCGGTTTGGGGCCCTCTTGGGGCCCCTTTGGGGCGCTCTTGCGGTCCTCTTGAAGCCTTCGGACCCCTCCTAGACAGGGCCGGGCGCATTTTGCTACAGAAAATGACAGGCCCGCGCCCGGCGGCGTCCTGGGGCCCTTTTGGAGCCCTCTTGGACCCAAGACAGCCCTAAAGACGGCCCGAAGATGGCCGAATAGGCGCCCAAGACGATCCACGACGGCTCCAACACGGCCCCGAAGGCACGCAAGACTGCCCCAATAGCCGCCAAGACGGTCCAAGACGGCTCCCAGACGGCCCAAGAGGCGCTCAAAACGGCCCAGGACGGTTCCGAGACGGCCCAAACGGCACCGACGAGAGCCCACGAGGGCCCCCAGAGGGCCCCTCGAAGCCCAAAAGAAGTTCCAAGAGGCCCCCACACGGCCCCACCCTAAGTGGCTAACCGTGGGATCATCGCGCAGGGGCGCCGCGCGCCCGAACTACCTCCCCGCAAGCGTTCTGTGCCTCGCCGCCGCCGCCGCCGTCATCGTCCCCCTCAGACGGCGCCGGCAGGCGCCACGGATCGTGCGGATATCTTTTCGGCACCATTCCCGCCGCTTCCCCCTAGAATACTCTTGGCCAGATGTCGTGGACGGAGTCCACGGGTCAGCCCTAGTCTTCTCTACTACATTGCAGGGCCCCGTGCGTGCGGGACGGGCGGGGGGCGGGGGGGGCCTTAAAGACGCCACGTGCGGGAGAGGCTCCGGAGGCCCCAAGAGGCCCCCAAGACAGCTCAAGGAGCCCCCGAGACGCCCAAAGAGCGCTCCAAGAGCCGCCCAGACGGCACAAGAGGCCTGCAAGCGTGCTTCCCCGAGGGCCCCGAGCGGCCAAAATCATAAACTTTACGAAGGTTTTGGAAGGATTTTGGCCTTCTCGCCTTTTCCGCTTTCCGACGCTCGAAGACGGCCCAAGAGGCCTCCACGAGCGCCCCAGAACGGCCCATTCGGCCTCCAAGAGCGCCCCAAGACAGCCCAAGAGGGCCCTAACACGACCGAAGAGACGCTCAAGACGGCCCAAAAGGGCCCTAAGACAGGCCCAAGAGGGGGCCAAGAGGAGGACCACAGACCGCAAATCCGAGCTTTCCCTGGGACCTCTCCGCATTCTTCGGACGAGCACTTGGGGGGCCCAGGAGATTCAAACAAGTCTTCCCCATTCCTTGCCCTGTCCCGTTCTGTTCGCCCGAAGGCCTCCACAGACCCTCTGGGCGAACAGAATGGGACATGGCGAACAAACCCTCCCGTTGGCGGTGATGCGACTGGAACGCACCATCAAGGCGCGCCCGGAGGTGATGGCCTACCCAACAGCGGTTTCTCTAAATATTTTACAGAATTTCGAATTTTCTTGAAGCTTTCTTGGGCCCTCCCTGCAGATCCTTGCGAGCCTCCCCGGCGCTTTCGGTGGCTTTCCCCGATGGTCTCCCGAGCCCTTCCCCAAGCGCTCCTGAGACGCCTCAGATGGGCTTCGACTTCGACGCACATTCCCGAGAGACTTCGAAACTGTCCTCAATAGGAGGGGGGTGAACGAGCAGTGCGCTGGGCCAAGCTGCTGGAGCGCTGCAAGAGCTCGGACACGAAGGCGCGGTCTCGCTGCCGCCGCCCGAGCCGCCGCCGTGTTTGTAGATTTTCAGTACAATCTGCGCCGTTCCTCCGAGAACCATTCCAGAAAGATGTGGACGGAGCCCACGGGTCAGCCCTAGTCATCTGTACTACAATTCCGGGCGAAGCGCGCGCGAGAAGGTCAGGCAGTGGCAGCGCCCCGGGCCGCCCAGAGAGCTCGCGGGCCGCCCGGAGAGCCTCCGGGCCGCTGCCCGACGGGCCCGGGAGGCCCCCGGACCGCTGGCGGACTGATCCAGGATTCCCAGATCGCCCCAAGACGGCCTCAGGAGGTCCCGAAGACGGCCCAAGACGGTCCAAGAGTGGATCCGAGACGCTCAAAATAGCTTCAAGACGCCTTCAGACGGCCGGGGACGCGTCCACGAGTCCCCCAGAGCGCTCGAAGTGTACCTCCAAGAGGGGCCGCAGAAGCCAAAATCGTTGATTTTCTTTGTTTTTTTCCGATGTTTCTGGCCTTCTCGCGTTTTCGGCTTTCCGACGCTCCAAGACCGCCCAAGAGGCCCCCCCAGACCGTTCCGAGACGGCCCAAGAGGCCTTCAAGATGGCCCCAAGACGGCCCAAAAGGGCCCCAAGACGGCCCAGGAGTCGCCCAAGACAGCCCAAGAGGGCCCCAAGAAGGCCCCAAGAGAGGCCCCAGACAGGGACCAGGAACCGAAAAAATTAGGCCTCCACCCCAAGAGGCCCCCAGGAAGCCCCAAGACGCCCCAAAGAAACGCCGGGACGCTCCCAAGACATCCCCAGGAGGCCCCAGGACGCCCCAAAGAGGCTCCAAGAGGCCCCCAAGAGGCCGCCAAGCGCCCCAAAAGGCCCCCAAGAGGCCCCAAAAGAGGGCCCAAGAGGCCCCAAGACGCCCCCAAACTGCTACCAAGAAGCCCCCAAACTGTCTCCCAGAGGCTCCTGATAGGCCAGCCATGAGATCCCAACCAACATCCACGAGATCTCTTACCCATTACCCAGGCCCGCAGCGACATTGCCCGCAGGCCACTACAGCCAGTTCGGGGGCCCTACGCATACCAGCACCCGCACCCTTGGCTGTATCGGGGGCCTCACCGCTGCTCTCTCGGTTCTGCTGGCTTCGATCTGCCAGAGCTCTCGAGACGGCCATCTCGACGGCCCGAGAACCCGAGATGGCCCCAGGACCACCCTGCGCGGGCCCGCTAACGTGGCCCCTTCACTCTGACGGTGCCTGAAAACCCTTGAGTTTGCTGATCGCGCCCAGTCCCAGCGCGATTAGCAAAAACCCATTCCTTTTCACGCTTCCAGGTCAGTGCCCCCGGGGCTCCCCGACTGCTTTCTGAGATCGCCCCTGGACGTGGCCCCTTACACGTCGGCCCCACGCGCGGCCTCCAAACGGGACCCCCAAAGGCGGCCCCCGCACAAAGCCTCCGAAGGTCGCCCCTACCGCCGCAGTAAGCGTGGCCCCCGAACGTCAACCCCACGCGTAGCCCCAGGCGCCCCCAAACGTGGCCCCAACACACACAGCCCGGAAAACCATTGCCCTCAAACGTGACCGTCACATCTGCCCCCGAACCCCACACCCTCAAACGCGACCGTCACATGTGCCCCCGAACCCCGCACGCGGCCCCCAAACATGGCCCCCGGCAGGGCCGCGAACGTTGGCCCCAACCATGACACCCTGACGAGACCCCCCAACGTGGCCCTCAAACGAGGCCCCCCAACGTAGCGCCCAACTCTGGCCCCCACGCGTCCACCCCCCACATCGAACTTCTCGCGCACAGGGACTCTGTAAGATCGTTCGGGCCCCCTTACTCTGATTGCGTCTGAAAACCTATGTGTTTCTGCTAATCGCGCCCAGGCCTCGCGCGATTAGCAAAAACATATTACTTTTGACGCTTCCAGTGCTTCCGACACGTGCGCGTTCGGGACCAATGCCTGGACCTGCGGGCCGTGGATTTTCCACGGGTTCACACTAGTCAGCTACAACGCTGGGATCAGCGCGTGCAAGAAGGGCGAGCAGTGGCAGCTGGCGCTGGTACTACTTAGCGCAATGTGCGAAGTGAAGCTGAAGCCCGACGTCATTTCTCTCCTACAATGGCCGGACGGACACTCGCGGAGCTGCCGATCGGTGGCGGCGGAGCGGCCCTTTCCGGCGGCCCCTGCGAGCCCCAGCAGCCTCGACGCGCGTCCAAGATGGCCCAAGAGCGTTCCGAGACGCACGAGGAGGCCACCAAAAGGGCCCCCAGACGGCCGAGACGTTCCAAGAGGCTTCCAAAACGCCCCAAGTGGGCTCCACGACTCCACGACGAGCCCAAAGAGTGCCCGAACACCGAAACATTCTCCCATGCATGAGAGGGAGCCCCAACATCCCCTTCCCCTAGCACATGTGCTAGGGGAAGCATACATTTTGGCAGTTCCCGGGCTTGCCCGCTTCATAGCGTCCAAGACGGCCATGCAAGGTTCCAAGCTGGCTTCAGGACGGCTCATGAGGCGCCCTTGGCGGCCCACGGGGTACCCAAGACAGCCTCAAGAGCGGCCCAGGACTCCCCAAGACGACCCCCAGACGGTGCCCAAACTGCTCCAGAGACGCCCAAGGCGGCACCAGGCAACCCCAGACGGTCCCAACAACGCCTCAAACGGTCCCCAGGACGGTTCCTGAGGCGCCCCTGGCGGCCCACAGGGCACCTCAAGAGCGGCCCAGGACGGCCCAAGACTACCAGTAGACGGTGCCCAGATTGCTCCAGAGACGCCCAAGGCGGCCCCAGGCAACCCCCAAGCGGCTCCGACAACGCCTCACACGGCCTCCAGACGGCCCAAGAGGTTCCCAGAACGCTTCCAGCGGGCTCCACGGCGAGCCGCTGAGAGAGCTGGAAAACCGAAAAAATCGTAACACTTCCGAGGGAAATAAAACACTTTCAGAGTTTTCGGGCTTACATGTTCATAGCGTCCAAGACGGCCATACAGGAGCCCAGTATGGCCCCAGGACGGCTCCTGAGGCGCCCCTGGCGCCCCGCGGGGTACCCAAGACAGCCTCAAGAGCGGCCTGGGACGGCCCTAGACCCTAGACGGCCCCAGTGCGCCCAGGACGGCCCAAGAGGTGCACAAGACGGGCCCATACGGCCCCAATACAACCACCCGAGAGGCAACCAAGACGGCCCAAGAGGGCCCCCAGATCCCCCAGAACGCTTCGAAACGGCTCCACCACGGCTCTTAAGGCGCCCGTGGCGGCCCCTTCGAGAGACGGCCCAAGGGCCCCACGGCCCCGAAAAGCCTCGAAACGGTCCCAGCACGGCTCCTGAGGCGCCCTGGCGGCCTACGGGGCACCCAAGACAGTCTCAAGAGCGGCCCAGGACGATCCAGGCGACCCCCAGACAGTGCCCAGACTGCTTCAGAGACGCCCAAGATGGCCCCGAACAACCCCCAGACGGCCGCGGACGGCCTCCACACGGCCTCACGGCCCAAGAGGCACCCGAGACAGCCCTAGAGGGCCCCAGGTCGTTCCCAGGAGGCCGCAAAGAAGCGCTGAAAGGCTCCTAAACGAGCCCCAGAGGCCCCAAGATCACGGCCCAAACAGTACCGAAGACAGCACCAACAGCAGCCAAAGACGGCCTGAGACGGCCCGAAGACGGTCCCAAAATGGCTCCAAGCGCGCCATGGCCCGGTCGCAGAACCTAGCAGCCGATTCTGGGCCGGCGGGCCGTCGGCCCAGAATCGGGCCGCCCCGGAGCTCGCCCGCGCCGTCCCGGGACGTGCCGCGCGGATTTCAGGGCTGGCTGCGTGGCGGCCCAGAATCGGCCCGCCGATTATGGGCCGGAAGGCTGATGGCCCAGAATCGCCCCGGCCGACCCTAGAAGCACGACGCGCGGCCGCCCAGGTCGCGATGGGCGGGATTCTCGGCCGGCGGCGCGGTGGCCCAGAATCGGTCCCGCCGATTCCCAGAAACGGGTGGGCCCGCCCCAGTGGCGAGAGAATTGGCCCAGGGCGCGCTGGGCGGGATTCTTGGCTGGTGGCGCGGCGGCCCAGAATCGGTCCCGCCGATTCTGGGCTGGCGGACCTGCGGCCCAGAATCGTCCTGACCGACCCGGGAAGCGCGCGCGGCGGCCCCGGGGCCGCCGGGCGGGAGTCTGGGCCGGCGGCGTGCATGGCGGCCCAGAGTCGGCCCCGCCGAAACAACAGGCCGGCGGGTCGGGGGCCCAAAATCGGCTGGGTGGCTCCAGAGGCGCGCGTGGCCCTCGGAGCGAGGGGCAGGACTCTGGGACGGCGGGCCAGGGGGCGCCCAGAATCGGCACCGCCGTCTCTGGGCTGGCGGGCCGGGGCGCGCGTGGCCCTCGGAGTGAGGGGCAAGACTCTGGGACGGCGGGCCAGGGGGCGCCCAGAATCGGCACCGCCGTCTCTGGGCTGGCGGGCCGGTGGCCCTGAATCGGGCCAGCCTAGCCTTGCAGCCCGTGGACGCCGCCGCCGCCGCCGTCGTCCTCGTCTCGTCGTCACCGTCGTCGTCGTCGTCGCCGTCGTCGTCGTCGTCGCCGCCGCCGCCGCAGCCGCCGCCGTCGTCGGTGTCATTGGGGGCTCATCGGCGGCTCCCAGACGGGCGACCAGCGCTACCTGGCGCCCCCGCCGCTCAGCGATGTGTGGCAGGCAAGCATGACGCCATTCATCCTGCTCGCCTTGCGTCAGCACCCCTTCACCCCGCAAGTGGACGCAGTCCACGGGTCAGCCCTGGTCTCTTCTACAATGCAGGGGCCTTTGCGTGCGAGAAGGTCCTCTGTCTTGAAAGGCCCCCTGGGCCCTCCGGGGCGCCCTGCGAGTCCCCCAGGCGCTCCGAGACGGCTCCGGGGGGTCCCAAAATGCCCCAAGACGGCTCAGAGACGTTCAAGAGGGTGCCCAGACGCCCCAAGAGGACCCCGAGCGAGCCCCATGATGGCCCCAGAGGCCTCCAAGGCAGGCCAGGAGCCTCCCGAGACGGCCCAGGAGGACCCCCAGGAGACCCCCGAGAGGCAAAAATCGCCCCATTCCCTTCGGAACAACATCAATTTGTCCTATGTCCGTTCTTTCGGCTTGCACCGTCTCCAAGTCGGCTGTACACGCCCTCAAGTTCTCCCCAAGACGCCCCCAGACGCCCCAGGGCGCCAAAACGCTCCGAGACAGCCCAGGGACGGCTCCAGAGGCGCCCGAGGCGGCCCAAGAAGCACCCAAGACAGCCGTAGGAGTGCCCAACAACGACCGAAGATAGCCCCAAGATGGCCCGAAAGGCGCCCAAGACGGCCCAAGAGGGCCCCGAGAGATCCCCAGGAGGACGACCGCGCCGTCACGACGCCGTGGGCTGCGACGGCCGCCACGGCCGCCCATGCATCCGCGACGCGCTTCTCCAGGACATCATGTCTCCTTCCCGCTGCTCGCATGCATCCTGCCGATTCCACCTCCTCCCAGCGCTGTGCGCGTGCGCTGCTCTTGCCGTGCCTCTTGGGCCTTCCCCTCTCACGTTCCCGCCTCCGGCTCCAGCTGCCGTGCTTCCGCGCCGCTCTCCCGCCGCTGTTTCTGCACCGGACCTTGCTCTTCCTTCGCCCTGCGCCTTCGTGCGCGAGAACCCCAGCCCGACAGATCCGCGAAACAGCGAACGAACGTACAGGAGCACGCCCGCGCCCAATGGCCACATTCTCAGAACATTACCTGGTATAATCATTTACAGGCCTTCGGCTCATCCCGCTACCCTGCCTGGGTTGAGGGTCCGATTCTTCAAGATTGCTTCTTGTGATGCCCTCCTAGAGCGCTCGGGAGCCTCCAAGGAGGGCACTTGTGCGGCCTCCTGGGAGCCTGCTCGAACTTCTTGCGTCGTCTTGGGAGCCTCTTGGACCATCTGGGAGCCATCTCTGGGCCTCTGGGGGACGTCATGGGGCGGTGAGCTCGAAAGGTCGATTCGTGTCCTTGCATTGGGGCCCGTCTTAGGGAGTTCGCAGGGCCCTCTGGGGCCGTCTTGGAGGCCTCTCGGCCCGTCCTGGGGACCTTGGGCCGTCTCGGCGCCCTCTTGCGAGTCTCTCAGGCCGTCTAGACTCCAGACGAACGAACAGGGACATGCCCGCGCCCACCGGCCCCTTTTTCACCACACTGCCAGATACAAGTATCATTCGGCCCAGCGAAGCGCAGGTAAAATTATCACGGCGACCCGCCCCGCAGAAGCCATGATAAACACAGCGCGGCTTGAGAAACAGCTTCTGTCCACACCATGTCGTGCCTACATGGGTGTGCTTTCATTGACACCGCCTCCACCACTGCGTTCCTGCCTTCAGGCCAACTTTCCTGCATCCCTCGCCCATCTCCCCCTCCAGCGACCACCTCCTCCATCCGCACCGCCTCCTCCCACCTCCCCCCCCACGAAGCCCCGGAGACGCTCCACTTTCCACATGGCGGGCAGATTCCGCGGCCGGAAGGCCGCGGGTCAGCCCCAGTCTCTACTACATTGCAGGGCCCCGCGCGTGCGAGAAGGGCGGGGTTCGGACACATTCCTCCGGCGCCCCCTGCGGGCCCCCGCGAGCCCCAGCTGGCCTCGGCGCGCTTCCAGTAAGGCGCAAGAGCGCTCCAAGACCCGATCGGAACTCCCCGAGTGGACCCCAAGACGCCCCAAAACGGTCCAAGAGGGCCTCCGAGTGTGATTCCCGCTCACTCCCCGAGTCTTTCCTGCCCCTGCTCCTACTGCTCTCACCCTTTTCCCCGCTGCCCGTTTTGGTTCGGAATTTACTAGGGCCCTTGGCCTTAGAGCTACGCAGATTGATCGAGCAGCGCTCTCTTTCGCCCAAAGATCGTCGCGCCGCGCGCGCCATCCATATCACAGTGGTAGCTTGGAGCGGGTCTCAGCTGCCGGCGCTGCGCGCCTCCATATTGTTAGCCACGACGACGCCGTCGTGCACCATCACAGAATCGACGCCCAGCGGCGTCCTGCGAGCCCTCATAGGCCTGAGCATAGCGCTCTACTCCGCCAGCGTCAGCGACGCCAGCACCAACGCCAGCGTCAGCGACGCCAGCACCAACGCCTACTACGCCTACATCCCTGCCAACTCCAACGCCAGCGTCAGCGACGCCAGCGACTACGCCTTCGACTCCTA